ACACAAGAGGTGACTCTACACATGGACATCACCAGATGGGCAATACTGAAATCAGATTGATTATGTTCTCTGCAGCCAAAGATGGAGAAGCTCTATACAGTAAGCAAAAACAAGACCTGGAGCTAATTGCAGCTCTGATCATCAGCTTCTTATAGCAAAATTCAAGCTTAAACTGAAGAAAGTAGGAAAAACCACTGGGCTAGTCAGGTATAATCTAAACCAAATCCTTTATGAATATACAGTGGAAGTGAAGAACAGATTTAAGGAACTCCATTTGGTGGACAGAGTGTCTGAAGAACTATTCCAGTCAAACTATTTAAAATCTTAAAAGGTGCTACACTCAATATGCCAGTGAGTTTAGAAAAAAGTGGTCACAATGACCAGGTACGCAGGGTATAAATAAAATAAAATATATAAATAACACTCAGCAGTGGCCAGAGGATTGGAAAAGATCAGTTTTCATCCCAATCCCAAAGAAGGGCAGTGCCAAAGAATGCTCCAACTACCATACAATTGCAGTCATTTCACATGCTAGCTCAGGTTATGCTCAAAATCCTACAAGGTAGGCTTCAGCAGTATGTGGACCAAGAACTCCCAGAAGTACAAGCTGGATTTTGAAGAGGCAGAGGAACTAGAGACCAAATTGCTAACATGCACTGGATTATGAAGAAAGCCAGAGTTTTCTAGAAAAACATCTTCTGCTTCATTGACTACACAAAAGCCTTTGACAGTGTGGACCACAGCAAACTATGGCAAGTTCTTAAAGAAATGGGAGTGCCTGACCACCTTATTTATCTCCTGAGAAATCTATATGTGGGACAGGAAACAACAGTTAGAACTGGATATGGAACAACTGATTGGTTCAAAATTGCGAAAGGAGTACGACAAGGCTGTATATTGTCTCCTGCTTATTTAACTTACAGTATGTATATGCAGAATACATCATGCAAAAGGCTGGACTGAAGGAATTCCAAGCCGGAATTAAGCTTGCCGGAAGAAATAACAACCTCAGATATGCAGATGATACCACTCTGATGGCAGAAAGTGAGGAGGAATTAAAGAACCTCTTAATGAGGGTGAAAGAGGAGAGTGCAAAAATGGTCTGAAGCTCAACATCAAAAAAACTAAGATCATGGCCTCTGGTCCCATCACCTCCTGGCAAATAGAAGGGGAAGATATGGAGGCAGTGACAGATTTTACTTTCTTGGGCTCCATGATCACTGCAGATGGTGACAGCAGCCACGGAATTAAAAGACATCTGCTTCTTGGGAGGAAAGCTATGACAAACCTAAATAGCATCTTAAAAAGCAGAGACATCACCTTACCAACAGAGGTCCGTATAGTCAAAGCTATGTTTTTTCCAGTAGCGATGTATGGAAGTGAGAGCTGGACCATAAAGAAGGCTAACTGCCGAAAAATTGATGCCTTTGAATTGTGGTGCTGGAGGAGACTCTTGAGAGTTCCCTGGACTGCAAAGAGAACAAACCTATCCATTCTTAAGGAAATCAACCCTGAGGCTCCAATACTTTGGCCATGTCATGAGAAGAGAAGACTCCCTGGAAAAGACCCTGATGTTGGGAAAGTGTGAAGGCAAGAAGAGAAGGGACGACAGAAGATGAGATGGTTGGACAGCATCACTGAAGCTACCAACATGAATTTGACACAACTCCGGGAGGCAGTGGAAGACAGGAGGGCCTGGCGTGCTCTGGTCCATGGGGTCATGAAGAGTCAGACATGACTTAATGACTAAGCAGCAACAACAATACTTACTGATGTTACCTGATTGAGAATACTGAGTTTTTGCACAGCATTTCCTAACAGTAGTTCCCAACCTTGGGTCGCTAGATGTTCCTGAATTAAACTCCCAGACACCTTCACCACTAGCTATGCTGGCCAGGTTTTCCAGGAGTTGTAGTCCAACATTCGGGAACCCAAACTTGGGAAGCGTTGCCCTTAACAGACAATGCCTACTGTTTTTTGTAGTCTTGTTACAAAGTAAAAGACACCATATTTAATACATTTTACTTGAGTAGCATAAAATACCCTGAACCCTCTCTCTTCCAATTATAATCAACTCCATTTCTGTTACCTTTTCAAAACAGCAACCTAAATACTACATATCTGAAACAGGGATGTGTGATTCCATAAATTAATCATGATCTTAAACCCTCTTCACACTGTGGCTTAAGGTCCTAACTAATAAACCTTTGTTAAATTATAGTTTGTCATTTGAGAAGTAACAGGAAATTGTGATTTACAGTAACCAAGGGGGTGACTACATGGGCTTTTAGCCTGCTCTTTGGTTCACTGCAGAAACAGGCTGGTTTGTCCTAAGAGTGATGATCAGATGATGTCTTTGCTGCAGCAAACCAGCCCATCTCCAAAGCAGTCCCCTACTAATACCTTTTTGGCCTGTCAGGGATTTCTACTTTTTTGGTGCAAGTAGGATTGCTTTGTTTTTGTTCATTTCTGTTGCATACAATTGCAGGAAATGAACCAAAAGCAAGCTTTCCTGTTTGAATTGCCATTATCTCTGTGCTTTTAAAGTATTTCTACAGCTCAAAATGCCCATCCAGGCAGTTTGTTTTCATTCTCTCTCCACTTCCTGCCAGACCCAAACAGGCACATCTCTGTGCACTGATGCAGCCTGCAACATGGTCTGATGACAAAAAAATGTATCCTGAATCCCACCCCGGGGTTAAGTATATAAATACAAGCTCTAAGTGAAAACTTCTAACAACTGGTTCCACCAGCAGGGAGGTATAGTTGCAAGCTATGATGTAGAATACAAGCACATCCAAAAAGGGTATCACTCTATTACAGCCAAAATTCACACAATGTGAGGAAAAATACTGATCACAGAAGCAAGAAAATAAAGCACATTCTTGTTCTCATACATGAGGCTGCAGAAACACCAAGTGCCATTCATTGTGAAGGGGCTCTCATGCAGGTAATGTTAAAGCTATGTTACTGGAGGAACAGTATGATTTATTGCAAACAGAGGCCATGCACAAGAAAAGAAAATCAGTGATGTTACATTTTAACAAGTACTGAAACATGTATTACATCTGAGAAATTGATCCACTACCTTACACTGGTTTAACCTGTAGCCCTTCCAGTACTGCACGGAGAATAGCTGCAACTGCTACAGCGCCAGGGTCTGGCTGCTCTAGGCGGGCTGAGCTAATATAACTGGCTCTGCCAGCAGCAGCTTTCATGTGTTTTGTGGATTCAGCTGCAGCTTCTGCCTCCTGTAGAAAAGAGCAAAAATGAATGCAATACAAATAACTACACTCTCAGCCCCTGCAAAATTGTAAGAGCAGGAACCACTGAAAGCCATTTGCATGCTTCTTGGTTTGAAACTATAAGGAAGCATTTGGAGTGCAGACCTTCCTCTTTCTACAGTACTGTGCTCTTTAACCCTGCTGCTGAAAATGTCACTACAGGATTTTGTTTAGTGATTTAAAGTGTTTAAGGGTTTTTGGATTCCTGAAGTAAAGTTCTCCAGCACTTCCATAAATATATACTGGTGATAATTTTATGAGACTCACTGAAAGAACAGACACAATTGCAAACATGGATACCAAGTCATAGCTTGAGAAAATTTGCTTAACACATCATTGCCCAAACATACATAGATTATTAACTTGCATTAATGAACTCACCTTTACAGCTTTGGCTAGAATCTCCAGAGGATTAATCTTAGGGTTCTTCAGAGCCCTCAGTTCTTCAGCAGCAGCACAGAGTGAATCCAGCTAGTCAAGAGAGGGTTTATCAAGGTTGGTAACAGAAGATCCGCATGTGCCATGGTGCCTAAGCCATGAAACCCTTGCGATTTCCCCATGACTGACTACAGTGGAAGACTGACTATATGTGACTAACTATATGTAACACTATAGAGTGGGCATTTATAAAATCACAGATGACTAGATGGGGACATTGCCCCTGAAGTGAAATGACACATGATCTGGTTGAAATAACTATATAATGGTTTTTATAGTAGTAAAAGCCACTTATATCTTGTGATGCACAAACACAAAACAGTACTCTAATCATGTTTGTAGAAAAAACATCCGTAATAGTAGCCAGGATAGTTTATCACATCTAGCTACCTATGTATCAAAGAGATCCTGCAACAGTAAATTCCACCCTAGTGTATGAAACAGCTTTAGCAAATGTAACTGATGTATTATTCAATCACAAGTTTCAAGTGCCTGACATAGGCAGGTGTTTGAAGCAACTTAAAATAACCATTTAAAGGTCTGTAACAGATTATTCCAGGCAAAGAAAAAAATGCACACAACACTGCTTTTGCCTCAAACTAGTAAGAGTGTAGCAGAAGAGATTTAAGATAACCTAGGATACATTACTTACCATGGTTCTATCTCCAGGTTCAGCACCTCCATACCTGTCAGATGAAACAATTAGCAGAATAGGCTGTACATATGTCCATGCTCCAACCCTGAAGATGCTGACTGCACTCACACAGGAGGAGAGTCAGGGCCCTAAATCCAGGCTTATCATAAATGACCTGCATGCTCATGCATACAGCCTGCTTCCTCTCACAGCAACTACATTAACCAGAGAGTGACAAGTTATCATCATGTTTGAACTTGGAATCCTGGTTCCTTGTGCCCTTACAAGTCAGGATTGTAAACCAGAATTTGCTCTTAGTTTACAAATCCTGGCTTGTTCAGGAGTAAATCCATGATTCTGGGTCCAAATGTCACCAGAAACTGCTGATTTCTGGATTAGCCATTCATGCCAACCATATAGAAAATTAGTTGTGTATATAAGAATGCAGCTAATTCTCAGTAAGCCAGCATTCCATGGGATCTCAGTTTATTGTTCTATCTGAATGTAGCCATTGTGTGTCATGCAGAAAAGGAGCACACCTCACTTATAATGATGAGGCTTTTCTCATGCAAGGGTCACACTCACCGCATCATGGCATTAATACCAGCATCCATGGCAAAAGACCAGGCTGGTAGGTCACTGTCAATCCGGAGAGGCTGAGCAGCTGCTATCAGAAAGAGTCCATAGAGCTGTAAACAAAAATGAATTGTTTCCATCTCTAACAGAGTCTAAAGTAATAACAAACATCACACACAACTTTCCCCCCTTTAATGTATCACTAATTCCTCACTCCTTTGCCTGAGACAGGTAATATTCTAATCAAGACACTGAGGTGTGTGTGTGTGAGTGAGTGAGTGAGTGAGTGAGTGAGAGAAGGAGAGAACGAACATGAAAAATGTCATGCTTGAATATACTGTATACAGGGATGCTCTGGTAAAGCCAGTTTTTTTCTGCTTGAGGAGTAAGGAAAAGAACCATATAAAAGCAAGTACTGTAATCTATTCCCCCTCTGTGCATACACTGCAACCTTACAAAAAAGAAATTATTCGTCTGACTGGCTTAATGTACATATCTGTAGGGGATTGATTCCAACCCCTTCGCAGGTGCTGAAAACTATGGATTATAGAGAATGTTATAAGATGGTAAAAGTGTTTCCCAACATGTGCACCAGGGAAAATGGAAGGGATCACAGAGCAAGGTCTCTGCCCTGTCCCCCACTGCACCTCCTCTGCAGTGCTTGGCGGCCCCAATCTCAGCCACTTCCTTAGGCTGTGTTGTTCTGGCCTGGCCGTCTTGGCTAGTGCTGCCCCACCTGCTCATTGCCTGCTCAGCAGGCTGGGCTGTCTCCTGGGCTGCTTGCTGCCTTTCCTGGCTGTCCCTAGAGCTGCCTGTCCCTGTCCCTACCCCTGCTATTGCCACCCTCAGGAGAGGTGACCCGGGCCAGCTTTATAAACCTCCATCTACCTACCACAGCAGGCAAAGGGGCTGAGCTACCAGGGATGGGTGACAGGTAAGGGTGAGAGCTGCCCTTTCTGGCTCTGCTCCCTTGCAAACTGCTGCAACCTGGAGGTACCCCAAGGCGGCAAAGGAGGAGGGTTTCTGCCTTCCTTCCTGGGACTAAAGGCACAGGTGAGTGGGGCCAGAAGCAAACTGAGAAGGAGGATAAGCCCCCCTGCCCCCATGCACGAGGGAAGGGTACTCCACACTCAGGATCGGGGTGGAAAGGGCAGCGTACGGCTGGAGGCACTCGCCCACCCTGAGCAGCCACTTCATGCTGGGTCTCCACTTCTCCTAGAAACCCACCACACAAAAAGGCAGCCTGTTGGCAACTGGGCATGCACATGGGCTGTGTGCCATGGAAAACCTCCATACAAGTTTAGAAGTTTTCCCATGTATTTCTTTTTTTACTTCTGAGTAAGCCAGCAGGCAGGAGGAGTGGTTGCAGTCTTGGATCATGGAGATAATCTGAGACAATATTATTAAAGAAAATGATTCAACATGCTACATTACCAGGCCCAGAAGCGATATAAATGCATGTGTCCATGGTTGAACCCCCTTGTTTATTTGACCCTACATAGGATGACTTCAAGTCACTAATGGCTCATTTTAGTGCATGAAACAGATGAAGACAGAGCATCCATGCATAGGTAAGTCAACTGCAGAATGTCCAAATCCATCTGTCCAAAACTCACCGCCCCAGAAGAACCTCCCATCTTCTCCAGCAACAACTTTGCAAGAACAGAGAGCAGCTGTGATGGGTGCCCAGGGAGAGGTTTTGCATCCAGCCATTCCTGAATTGCTGAGAAAACAACACACACAGATTAAAGATGGCAACCTTCTACTTAGGACACAAAAGCATGTAACAAATTGCTTTGTTCAGCTTTAATTCCCAGAAATAGCTAACAAAGTGATAAGGACTTAGCCCATTTTGTGAGACAACTGTGGTGACAACACTGAATCGGTATGGCATTTTGCAACAGAAGGCAAACAGATCAAACAATTTTTTTCAGTTCATGTGTTCAGTTTTCCAACCACCACACCATATTAAGTCCTCAAGAAATCATTTAGCAACACAAAGCAGAAAAAGCACAGATGACCATTTCACATAAGTTTGTGGAATGCACTGCCCTAGGAACTATGCCAGGCACTCTCCCTCCAGGCCTTTAAAAAGCAGCTAAAATTGAGGTTTTTAGGGAAATCTTTGGGGAGGTTCTTCTCAATTGATTGAAATGGAGGAGGAGGAGGGAGGGATATGTATACACCAATTAACAGTTTTTTTGCTGCCTGTCAAATTGTTTTCTTGCATATCAGAATTTGTTTTATAATTGTCATTTTACCCCTATTGTACACTGCCCAGAGTAGCAGTTTGCTAAGTGGGCAATATAGAAATTGAATACAGTAAATATAAATATATATGTTTGGTCTATTAGAGGAACATTTTGCGCAAAGATGAACATGATAAAAGACAAAAATGGGAGGGACCTAACAGAAGCAGAAGACGTCAAGAAGAGGTGGCAAGAATACAGAGAGGAATTATATCAGAAACATGTGGATATCCCGGACAACCCAGACAATGTAGTTGCTGACCTTGAGCCAGACATCCTGGAGAGTGAAGTCAAGTGGGCCTTAGAAAGCCTGGCTAACAACAAGGCCAGTGGAGGTGATGGCATTCCAGTTGAACTATTTAAAATCTTGAAAGATGATGCTGTTAAGGTGCTACATTCAATATGCCAGCAAGTTTGGAAAACTCAACAGTGGCCAGAGGATTGGAAAAGATCAGTCTACATCCCAATCCCAAAGAAAGGCAGTGCAAAAGAATGCTCCAACTACCGTACAATTGCACTCATGTCGCACGCTAGCAAGGTTATGCTCAAAATCCTCCAAGGTAGGCTTCAGCAGTATGTGGACCGAGAACTCCCAGAAGTACAAGCGGGATTCCGAAGAGGCAGAGGAACTCGAGACCAAATTGCTAACTTGCGCTGGATTATGGAGAAAGCCAGAGAGTTCCAGAAAAATATCTACTTCTGCTTCATTGACTATGCGAAAGCCTTTGACTGTGTGGACCACAGCAAACTATGGCAAGTCCTTAAAGAAATGGGAGTGCCTGACCACCTTATCCATCTCCTGAGAAACCTATATGTGGGACAGGAAGCAACAGTTAGAACTGGTCATGGAACAACTGAGTGGTTCAAAATTGGGAAAGGAGTACGGCAAGGCTGTATATTGTCCCCCAGCTTATTTAACTTATATGCAGAATACATCATGCGGAAGGCTGGACTGGAAGAAACCCAAGCCGGAATTAAGATTGCCGGAAGAAATATCAACAACCTCCGATATGCAGATGATACCACTCTGATGGCAGAAAGTGAGGAGGAATTAAAGAACCTTGTAATGAGAGTGAAAGAGGAAAGTGCAAAAAACGGTCTGAAACTCAACATCAAAAAAACTAAGATCATGGCCACTGGTCCCATCACCTCCTGGGAAATAGAAGGGGAAGATATGGAGGCAGTGTCAAATTTTATCTTCCTGGGCTCCATGATCACTGCAGATGGAGACAGCAGCCCTGAAATTAAAAGACGCCTTCTTCTTGGGAGGAAAGCGATGACAAATCTGGACAGCATCGTGAAAAGCAGAGAC